CCCCAAAACCCCAAAACCCCAAAACCCCAAAACCCCAAAACCCCAAGATTTTGTAGCGAGATTGAAATTATGTATCTATTCTTTTGATCATCTCAACATCTTGGGGGTCAAGCACCTTGAATACCCCATACCTGGACATTGAGGTACGGTTTAGCTTCGCATATCTCCAACATTCTTGCTTGAGGGTTGAGAGTTTATAGTGATGAGCTACCTCAAGGATGTCCTTGATAGTCCCAGGATCAAGGTTTTCAATCAACTTCTCTGCAATAAGTTCTCTCAAATCTTCAGCACAGAATCTGTCAGATAGCTCGAGAAGTTCAATCAGATGGTTTGAATCAAGCTTTTTAATAGCTCCTGTGTAGATAAACTCAACAAATGCGAAGTAAGGCTCAAAATCTGCATCAAAGACCTCAATTTGTCTAGTACTTGATTCTCTCATATTTCCAGAGAGCATACTTTTAAAAAGAGGCATTTTACTGATAAGTACATGCTTATGGGCTCTAATTACTCTTCCAAGATCTGAGAAGATAAACTTGACAATATCTTGGTCATCTTCCTTCTTGGATGTATCTTCATCAATATCGTCATCATCGTCAATCAAACTAATATGTGTGTCTAAGGATGATTTTTCCAAAATACCTTGGTTAAGATCCAAAAATTCTTCATAAAGGACCTCACTGATTCACTCTTGGAGTTCCAAGAACGGATCTGGTTGGTCTAATTCCTCCTCTGAATCTTCTCTAGATTAAATCAGCTTATCTTCTTACCCTACACCTTGATTTCTGTTTGGATCTCCAAGTCTGTCGATCATCTATGAGTTATTAGTGCTTCATACCTTATTGGCTCTTTCTATTTGGGATTCCGTCCGATACAGCTTAGCTTCCTCCTCCAGTTCTCTTTTTTTCTCAAGATTTTTCTTCTCTTGCATTTCTTTCTTCAGAATGGACTCTTCTAGCTGATTTTTCTTATTGAGAAGAGCTCTTGCTCTGCCTTCCATCATATTTTCACGGGTCCCTCCAGAGGACTTATAAGGACTGGACTTTTCCACCTTCAGCTTTGCGTCATTAATGGTTCTTGGATTTGAAGTTCTGGCTTGAAAAGCTCTGAGCCTGGCCTCTCGCTGTTTCTTTTCCTCAGTAGTTTCATGACGGTCAACCTCCATTGGCTGCTGTTGCTGATCATCTGTGTCTTTGTGCTCTTTGATTAAGTCCTCTAAGGTCTTTCCTCCTGACATTTATCCACTTTATTCTAAATATTATAACCTGGGGATATATTGGGGTTTTGGGGTTTTGGGGTTTTGGGGTTTTGGGG